TGTAGTTCAGTATTTGGTCCGTATGAGTCTCTTTGCGGTATACGCAGGTTTCCAGAGTCCCATCCACCTTTCTGTTCACTAAGACGTCCAGGAATGGTAGCCGATTGTTTCTTTCCAGTTCGATTGTAAACTTGATATCATCAAACGTTGTGTTGAGCAGTTCACGTGCGTCATGTACTGAATTCCGTTTCATGACGACAAAGGTGTCGTCCACGTAGCGGATCCCCAGCTTTGGATTGATGATCGGCAGTACCGCACGCTCTATCCTTTGCATTACCGCCTCAGCAATCAATCCTGATATTGGGGATCCCATTGCAGTTCCTTTGAGCTGTTGATATGTTTGTCCACCGAAGGTAAACTATGTATCCATGCAAAAGTCTAACAGTTTGCATAGACTAATCGCGGCCAAAGGTCATCCCCGGCTACCAGCACGTATATCAACACACACGCAACACTACTCACTGCACAACCACTAACCCACCGCTACGCACAACTACGCTCCCCAATAACGCACTGATGATGTCACCTCGATTGGTGATGAAACGTTTGCAATCAAATTGCCCAGCACAGCGAACAAGCCAACGACCGCTGCTGTGATATGTCGATGACAGGATGTTGCGTTGACAGTTCTGTCATCCTCTCTGATTTTCCGAAGATCGACCGTGTCGGGATGAACCAGCGATGCACTGAGGGAATTCAGAAACTTAGGAGATCCACTTCAATGAGTGGATAGAAGAGTGATCTGAAAAGGACTTCAGCAACGTGTCAGGCTTGGGGCTGTTCGTCCACCCATCAAGCAGACAGAGATCTCTGATTTCTGCCCGTTCGGTCTAATGAAGATAGCTGTTTGATGCCATCATCGAGGCTGTTAGCTGGATGATATAGCTTTGAAGAACCTCAGTTGAATTTTTTGAATGAGACCTCGAGGGTCGGGTTTAGTCTGGGCAACTGTATGTGATGGGGTCTATATTGAATAGCGTCTTTGTATCGAGAAAGTTCATATCTACCATCACGAAGGATATGGGCAACACGTTTCGGTTAGTGAAAAATTTATGCCACCTTTTCCACTGGCTCTTGCACAAACCATGTGTTTACATCTCCTCTACCCGCGAACCAGAACAGACACGGAATGATGAAATGAGTTAGCATTCCTATGTTTCAGGTTGTTAAGTGCTCCAAGCAGGCGGTAGCTTCCCCATTCTCGTCAAAAACGATCTGTCAGACCATTAGTTGCACAACAGAATGCCATGAAGCTGTCTAAAAGTTGTCCGAAGGAGATTCCAATCTTCGAGAAATACACTCATTTACAAATCAATTTGGTTTTCATGAGAGACTCAACTGAATCTCGCGTTTATGATATTCTACAACTGAATGTGCTGCACACAGGCCGCCTCATGTTTCAGTTGACACAATATTCGAGATATCGCAGTGTATTTTCATTAAGGAATATCATAAACGAGAGATTTAGTTGAGTCTCTTGTGAAAACCAAATTGGTTTGCAAATGAGTGTATTTCTCGAACACAGTCCAATTTGGGTTCAAGTTGAACATAAGTTTGACGGAAACTCGGGAACTGCGCCTACCTGATGAGCCTGAACTGGAAGGGCGAAACCGGGTCATGGGCTTCGAGGAGTTTTCAGCAACCTTGTGAGTAGTTTCCTTTATGAAGAGATTCCAATCTATTAGATTGTTTCTAGCAGAGCAAAATGCTCTTTGGTTTTAAACAATAAGTTAACAACGGAATAAGAGACATGGTACTGTGGTAGACAGGTTGGCTCAGGGTGTCTCTGAGGGTGATTAAGCGGAATAACTTGTTGAGTTCACTGTCCAAGGGTGTATAAGAAAGCCACGTGCCTGTGATTAGTGGACAGCATGTATCATGACCCCAACTTCTTTTCAACACACACACACACAGTAAATGACCTGGTAAGACTTGGAAATGCTCGCTCGCTCACCTTAAAGGTAACTGAGCCGCTGACTACGGTGCACTTGTTGACCGCTCAGTGACCTGAATGGATTGAGCTGTCACGTTGTCCACGCGGTCACGACAATCCGTCATCATGGAAACACAAGAAACATGTAGCTTCTGTTACTATGACCAGTTTGACCGGATTAGAGGTGGGTCATCTGTTTAAAAGTCGTCACAGCATGCCAGTGCTACGTTTGAACCCATTAGCTGCAAGCCTATCACAGTTGATTGACAATGAGTATGAGAGACTGTTTGGTGGGCAGATTCCACTTCAACCGTTTGATTCTCACAACTTGTGTGTTTGTTGGGGATCAGACTGACACACTGGGTTCAGTTTTGACTACGTCAAGTTTTCCGCCCTACCTACAAGTGGATACTGTACTGGCACCCAGGGTAGAACTCCAGATTGCTCATTGGTTAAAGTGCGAAGGATGGTCTGAATCCGATCTGTGCACTTGGACTGCTCCTGTCTAGGCTTGGGCATTCCGGCGGCATCTCGGCCCTCCTGCTTCTCTCGGGAAGCAGCTAGGCACCGAAAAGCTGACACAGCTGGACCATGCTTCCAGGCTTCCTAGGACGAACCGTTGCATCAGTCCGACGGCAATGAGAGGTTGGCAGCGAATACACTAAAGGAATTCACTGCACAATTACTTTAACTCAGTGGACGAATCCTTGACTTGTTTGCTTAAAATAAAGCAGTTGCAAGCCATCGGACAGTCTAAACATCGTGCCATGAAGAGCGGGTACCGGTCCCGACTGTTTTTATTTTCGCCGACTAATGTGCATCGTAGAAGTGGTAATGGTTATTGATCAAAGGGTTCATGAGGTCTGGACACGTATTTCCAGAAAATGAGAAAAGAACTACATCGGTTCGAGAATTTTCACGTTTAACAGATAAGACATTTAGTATGCTGGTAAATCACAAGGCTGATCCTACTCAGGCGCGATTCCACCTGAGACTGAAGACTGTATCCCACCCATTTTTGCATCACTGCTACGCAGCATGTCTCAAAGTTTTTGCCATCTTCTTAGATAGCGGTTCTTCCGAACTTCCTAAGGAGTGCCAGGTCCTCCCATGACCCAAATTCAATTTACAGTTTTTCAGACTTATCCGCTACAAAAGCGGAGCTTCGGATGTTGCCTTCAGCTGAGCGTAGACAAGGTGTTTTCGGGAGTGAGGTTAGCCGTTCCTTTCAGTTAGTCTAATCAACAGATCTGACTTCATACTGTACTGCTCTCAGGCTCAAGACGCGTTTGCTGCTTAAAGGAATCGACTGTCTTGATTCGCTTTCTCCGCTGGAATCAAAGGATTTCGCTCGGACTACGGAAGAAACCGACTGATTGTATATTCTTGAATCCAGCTAAAGCTGATTTCAGTCATAAACGTTCATCTTGCGATAATTTCCTGGCGGTTTGCAATCAGGAATTGGTGGAACCTGTAACCTTGGAACAGAATGAAGTAGACCTTATATGGTTAAAAACCGTCGCGTCAAACCCTCAGTTAGTTGTCAACGTTGCGTGAACAAGTGTGTTTTCCTTGTTCCGACCCCGTCGATGACAGCATTGTCTGATTAGAAGTTATTCTGGTCACTAAACACATTGTCTATTACGGTATTCAGTGCCCTCTTCCAAACGCTATTGTCGTGTGTTTGTGGAGTACCTTCCAGTTTTTCAGGAGCACGAAAGAGCTTGCATTCAAGGTAGGGCATTATTCAACTGGAATGACCACCAGCACCCCGGAAGAGATGATTTAAACCATTTGCTTTAGGGGTTTGGTGTTGCCGTAATTGTCAGTCTCCGAGATGACGTCTGAACTCTAGGGTAAAAGTGAACGGCAGTTAGGCCCGGAAGCAGCTTGATAACCCCAAGAAGGAGCCGAGTGGGGAAGTCTCATCAGCCGACCGGGTAAGAAAGAACGGATATGTATGTATGTGTTTGCTTCCATGGGTGACTGAAGGCTTTGACTCGTGTACAGGATACCAAAAACCCCAAAACCATACCAAGTCCCTTGTTTGGGTTGCTACTTTTTGCCTGTGTTTACCTCTCTTTTGATCAGACATTGATATCTACAACACACACGATGTCCAGATGTGGAACTCGTCAGTTCCTTGGAATTCCAACTTTCAGGAAGAGAAGGGGGTAGA